GGTCTAGCTCCACTTTTGGTTCTGGTTCCCATTTGCCCCCGTATCACAGCTCCCTTGCAGCTTCCCCTGCCCTAGTCAAGGCCTACATCCATTTTCCTGTTCTGGGGTGGCTCCAGTCAGTCCTTGTGAGGACAGGAGACGTTGTGTCTGGGCCCTTTGCTTGGATCCAGCTCATATCCCGCACCCAGCCTCCATGGGGAAGCTGGGCGCACCTCAGCACCTCACCTGCCACCAGGAGAGTCTTAACTGCAGCTGCAGCCAGTCCACCCACTCGCAAACCCATGGGTCACCAGAGTGTCCCTCAGGCTCACCCACCTGCCAAGTGAACTGGGCCACACTAAAGCCAGCACGGGAGCTGTTTATTCAGCAAAGACAATAAAACAACAACAACTAGAACAACGGGGTCGGAACCCATTTCAGCCTAACCGATATTTTACACAATTGGATACGTTTGACTAAACTAATACATATGTATGGGGACTGGTGCATTTCCATTCAAACCAATGTAAATTACCTTTGACCAATATATTTTCCTGGAAATCAATGCATTTTAACACAAGATAATATTTATGAAATTGAATTTTTTATTGAAGCTAATGCAATTCTATTCTATTTTATGCATTTTTATTAAACTAATGCATTTTAAATTAATCCATTGTATATTAAGTACAACAGACATTGGTACTTACAGTAAAATAATATATGCTTGCTGAAATCAATACAGTTTTAAAACCGGGTGTTTTCCATTTAACTGAAGGATGTCAAGAATACGCAGCCCTGAGTTCAGGGCACATGAATGTGAAATTGTGTCTTTTTTTTCACCAAAATCATTATCACGTAAAAGATACTGTGCCTCAGGATATGGCCAGAGGCCCAAGGATTTAGAATTAATTCACTATTATGACAGCCAACTCAATCAAACATCCTACTTGACCGACTTTTTGACCAAGTGGACTGGTGATTCTCAATCATGAGGTGTGACACAAGTCACTTGTCGCTGCTAATAAAATACTGAGGTTTGCAAATAATTTAACCTCAAAATGAAAGCTAATGTTTTAAACCAGTCAGGGCCCTGCAGGAAAAGATAATACACTCAAACTGGTAATTATGAGAAGAGTTTAATAAAGAGATTATTTATTAAGGTGAAGGCATGTTTAGAAAAAGCTATGGTGCAGCCCCCTGGGGCTAGTAACCTGGGGAGTTGTTACCATCTGGGCATCCTGGGACCTGGAGGGAGCAGCTGGCAAAGAAGAGAACCTGTGGCCACCAGTGGCCAAATCAACCAGAAGGCAGAGGACAGGGAAACTGTTGTAGTCCTGGGACAGCATCTAGAATAAGCTGGAGAAAGGTAAAGAAGGGTGAACTTGGACAGACAAATGCAAGATACCTGCACACCTACTGTGTGCTCAGTGTACACTAAGTGCTTTCTCATTCAAATCTCACAACACCCTATGAGGAAGATACTACTATTATTCCCATTTCCAGCATGGGGAAATTGAGGCTCAGAGAGATTATGTGGGTGTGGTAGGGCTTGGACAGAGGTTTGTCCAACTTTGTGGAGGGAGGGGACAGTTTGGGAAAGAACTTTCTCTTGAGTAGAAGAAGACAAGTTTCTCTTTAGCCTCATCAAACCCCTTGCTTGCTGCTTGGAACTGTGACATGAGGACCTGACGTCTGGCCCTGTGGCAACCATCTTGTGACTATGAGGGGAGACGTTACCAACACATCGAGAAGAGTAGGGCAGAGAAAGCAAAGGAGTCTGGGTTCTTGCTGATATTATTGAGTCACCAAGTGCAGAACCTTCAGCCTTCCTGATAATTAACAGTAAACACTTTTGTCTTTTAAACCAATGTTGCTTGAGTTTACTGTTACTTGTAGCTAGAAGCATTCCTAAATGATAACGTTGTTACAATACAGATACAATGCTTTACTATTTAATAATGAATACGTATTATCTTTGTGAAAAACACAAAATGAAATAATAAATAACTGTTTAACCACTCCCCTCATTCAACTCCACTAAACTGGTCAATGTCATTTCTTTTCCCCGCTTCAGGATAAAACCCAGATGCGCATGATTTTTAAGGCTGAATTCACATAACTATTTTATTATGTTTTTATACAAGTTTTTTTCGTTATGCACGTTCAGATGGCAGAGAAGCTCGAGCGTATGCATGTCTGTGTTCCCTCTTGTTAAGGACTCCGTTTGCAGCTCTCACGGGGCACAACACCGCTACTGTTGCATTTCCTGGGAGGGAACCTTAGAAACCTGCTCTCTCCCACCTCCATCAGCTCTGAGTCTGTTCAGGGAAACTTTCAGGATTCCCAGATCCAACCACAGAATTCCATAAGCCTGGGGGGAGCTCCTGGCATTTCCTTAGAACTCTCCATTGACACCCAGTATCTTCCTTCTATGAGAGGAGAATTTTGTTCTAAATTTCCATCTTGCTCCTTTCTCTTTGAATATAAACTCAGAAGATCTAGGGCCTTGAGGGTTTGAGAAATTTACTCCTTTCTCAAAGATTTACAGTGATGAGATTCCTTAATTTCACTCACATGCCCATTACTTTGGCTCTGCTGAGCCTCTGTTTTCTTATCTGGAAAATGGGAGTGATGCTAGGACTTACCTTATAGGATTATGAAGGGAAAGGAGTTAAAACATGTGGCGTGACTGGACAGAGTAGAGGCTCAATAACTTGAGGCTTATAAACAGCAAAATAAATGTCATTATTATCTCTTTGGGTGTCTTAATGCATCCATCTAGCTTCCTCAGTGCTGGCTGTCCTCGTCATGGAGAAATATAAGTCATTGTAATGTCTAAACTTTGGATGAGATTTTATTTTATGAATTTATCCATAGCACTGACTAGCCAAGAGGAGTTGATGGGAGTTAAGAGGTTGGGTGTTAAAATCAGAGAAACCTGGGTTCAAATACCATCTACACTTTCCAGCTGTGTGACCTTAGGCCAGTCACTTTGCCTCTCTGAGCCTCTCAGCTTCCTCACTTGGACAATGGGACTAATAACAGCTATCTCGTGGACTGGCTCGAAGAATTAATGAGGTTATACATGGAAAGTTCTGAACACAGGCCTCTTAAGAGCATCTGCCATCTCTCTTTATAGCTGTCATTCTTTTTTTTTCTCTTGGTGTGCACGGAAATAAGTATGGATAGATAGATGCAAAGTTCTACTGTCTACATTCTATTCTGTCTCCAGAGACAGATGGAGAGAGGAGGAAAGCACAAAGAGGTTATTGGTTGAGTTGGAAATTTCTTTTTTTAAATAAAAGTGATCTCAAAGTTTGTAGAAAACTAGAACGGTTTCATTATTAATATTTTAATATCATTTCTAGATTCCAAACTCTTTGTGGGCTAAGACCCAGCTAATGAACCTTAGTGTTCTGCACGGGGCCTGGTACAGAGCAAGTGCCCATTCAATGCTTGTTGCTCTAAATTCGTCCCTGGATTAGTCTGCTCAGGCTGCCATGACAAAATACCGTAGACTGAGTGGCTTAAATAACAGACATTTATTTTCTCACAGTTCTGGAGGCTGAGTCCAAGATCAGGGTGCCATCATGGTCAGGATCCGGTGGGGGCTCTTTTCCTGGCTTGGAGATAGAGAGAGAGATTGATAGAGAGGTCTGGTGTCCTTTCTCATAAGAGCATTAATCCCATCATGGGGACTCCACCCTCATGACTTCATCTAAACCTAGTTATCTCCCAAAGTCACCATTCCAAATACCATCACATTAGGAGTTAGATCTTCAACATATGAATTGGGGGTGGGGGACACAATTCAGTTCATACCAGTCCCCTAAAAGTTTGTGCTTCAGCTGCAAAGTAGACCAAACCTCAAGGTGAGAAGAGTCCATAATCCTTGAAGAAAGAGAATGGGGAATTTAGAATGAGCATGATAGGAAACCACAGGCCACCCATCCTCTTGGCTCTCACTAGCAGGTGGTATAGTGGTAAAGAGTTCAGGACCTGGCGTTCACAGCTTGGATCCACTGCTGTGACACCTTGGGCCAGTGTCTTACCCTCTCTGGTGTAAGTTTCTCTATTAGTAAAATTAGGACCATATAGTGCCGCATTTGCCTGCACACCATTCCCCTTTCTTGTGAAAGCAGCCCCTTGGTTTTCTTTGGGTTAGCTTATGCCTTTGTGGCTTTACCCCCCATCACCGCCCTGCCCCAGCTGTAGAATTGACATGCAATGTGGGCCTGTTCTAGCAGAGTCAGGGGATTGGTTCTGGCATATGCATATGATCTGACTGGTACCAATGAGAGTCTTTCCCAGGATTTCTGATGGGACCTTTTGGAAGAGGCTCTCTCTTTTCCCTGAGGATGCCCCCCAGAGGAGAGAAGCCTGGCTGAGAATGACACGACAGAGGAAACCAGAGCCCAGAGCAGGAGAACACTAAAGCCTAAAATTCAGTGTCAAAGGCTTCAGCTAGCTGTGCCTGAAGCCCATAAGATCCTTCAACTTCCCAGTTAAATAAGCTAATGAACTATTTTGGACTTAAGCCAGTTTGAGCTATGTTTCTGATCATTGCAACCAGAAGCATGTGACTAATTCAGATGCGTTGGACAGAACTATTGACGTTAAACAAAAAGACAACCAGATATTTCTCCAGCAGAATGGGTTTATTCGGGAACAACAAAGAACTGCACTAGGCATGCAGCCTAATGGCAAACCAGGCGCGCAAGTCCACGGAAACTAAGGAGGGGACCACTCGTTTGCGAACTCGGGAGGAGCTGTTGCAAACGAAGGGTCTGTTGCAGGAAACTGAACTTCCGAAGTATAATGAATTCCCATTGGCTGAGTTATAGCCGTCTCCCATTGGCTGAGTTATGGCCGTCTCCCATTGGCTGAGCTGTTACTGGGCAAAAGGGAATCTTTCCTTCTGGGCACTGAGGTAGTAAAGTAGCATCACTTCCTGTGGGCGACGTAAAGTATAGTCTTGTCCCCAACGGGCACGTGATTCAATTCTGGCCAATGAGGAGATGCCAGGTAACCTGCTGGGCGGGGCTTCTGGGAGTAGCCTCCCCGAGGGCGGGAAGGAAACTTCCAGTGAACTTCCCACCGGCGGGAACTCCGCCCCGTGTTGCTTTACCCTGAGGGGGACACCGAGAGGACGAGGCCTCGGGGACAGCAGAGGCCGGACGTGGAAAGTGCCAGCACCCTGGCTGGAACCCACCTGGAGGACTACTCCGCCTCAGCGCTCCCAGGTATGTGAGGTAAGATTGCGTCGCGTCTGACTTTCCACCAGTTCTGGGCCAGGATTCACACTCAGCACCATCTGGAGTAATACGCTCCCATTTTGTAGATGAAAGAAATCATTTCCGAGCAGGGAAGTGGCTTTCTCTGGTATTTTGTCCGGATTCTTTTGGCTCTAGGGACAGAAACCAAACTCCAAACAGCTTAAGAAAATAAAAAAGGAGTTGACAGACTCGGGAGCACGTTCATGGGACTAGACCAATGTCCTTCGGCTGATGACTGGATTAACCGAGGTGCAGCCAGCCCTACAGTGAGTTATTATTAGTCGGCAATAGAAAGGAAAAAAAAAAAATTACTGCTCTGCCAGTAACATGGATGAACCTCCACATGCGCGATGCTAAGTGCAAAGTCAGACTCGGGAAGGGCCCTGTGCTGTGTGATTTCATGTATATGACATTCTGGAAAAGACAAAACTTTCACAGACAGAAAACAGATCAGTGGTTGCCGGGGGGATTGGGGGGTAGTGTGTGTGTGTGTGGGGGGCAAGGGAGCAGAGTACAAAGGAGAATGGGGGAGCCGGGGCCTGGGGATAGAACCGCCCCGGGTCTTGGCCGCGGTGCTGGTTAGGCACCGGCCTGTGTTTGTGGGAACTCACAGAGCACGCAGCGAAAAGGGTGACTGCGGCCGTATGCGCATTACCCTTAAAAAATGGAAGTAAGCGTTCTGAGGTAGGATGGGGAGTGACTGCGTGTCATGGGGATGGAGTTTCCTTTTGGGGGGGGTGATGAGGATTTTTGGAAATAGGTCGCGGCGAGGGTCGGGCAACGTTGTCACTGTAGTGCCTCTGAACTGTACATTGAGAAATGATTAAACTGGCATTTTATGTTAAGTATAGTTTACCGCAATTTTTAAAGTGGGAAAAAACCCCACAAAGGATTCTAGGGGTAGGTTTCAGGCATGGCTGGATCCAGGATTCTCTCCATCTCTCGGGCTCTCTCCCCCCCACCCCCGCCTTGGCTGTATTCCCAGCAGGCTCTCCCCCCCGGGGGTGGTGACTTAGATGACCTTGGCCAGTTCTGAGTATATCCTGTCCCAGCTTAGCAACAGGAGCGGGAAGAAAGCGCTTCTTACCCAAGAGCTCCCTAAAGTCCCGCGGTTGGCTTGCCTTGGGACATGAACCTGCCCCTCAACCAGTCCCTGGGGGCGAGGTGTTGGAATGACCTGACTGACCAGGCCTGGGTCCTATGCCCACTCCCGGTGCTGGGGGAAGTAGCTCTACCCAAACCCCTCAGAGGGAGAGCAGGGAGAGAAGGACCTCACAGAGGACCAAGGAGCTTTGTCGGCAGTCCCTACACCCAAGTGAAATGTTGAATGGCCCGGCCCCAATTCTCTGCTCGACATTTATGCAGGCTGTGCCCGTTCTGTCCTTACATTTTCTCCAGCAGAGCCCACGTAGGTACAACATACACTCATCGTCTCATCCCTGGGTTTGCATAAAAACCCACGTCCACGAAGTAGCAACTGCAATGTTTTTCAATCACACAGCAAAGATATTTAAAAATATCACCCATATGTGTTTTAAATACAGGCAAATAGCTGGCAAGGCAGCCGGCTTCACACCCGCGTGCCATTCCGAGTTATAATCTTCTCGCTTCCAATTCTCGAAATCACACGTTGAAGGCCAGACAAGCCCAGAACACGGCTAAGGCTGTGCTTCTACCCAGAATCTTCCCGACCCAAGCTGCCCCAGCTTTCTTTTCTGGTGGAGGAAACAGCTATCGGATCCTGGGAAGGAATTTAAGGGCTCCTGGGCTTGAGCTGAATTATTTGCCTTCTGCTGAGGATACGGAATTGAAACTAGGAAGTTTTTAGTGAAGTTTGAAGAGGTTCCAATCTCCATCATGATACCATCCATACCAGTCTGGCTCTCTCACTTTCCCCTTTCTGCCTGCCCATAGTGTCATTTATCTGGTGTTAAAGTCTTTAAAATCCAACCTTGCTTATGGGTGATCTTTTTTTTTTTTTTTAAATATATCTTTATTGATTTCAGAGAGAGGAAGGAAGACGAAGAGAGAGAGAGAAACATCAATGATGAGAGAGTCATTGATTGAGCCCACAACCTGGGCATGCGCCCTGAGCGGGAATTGAACCCCGATCACCTGGATCCCAGGTTGATGCTCAACTGCTGAGCCATGCCCAACTGGGCATGGGTGATCTTATAACTTGAGACTCCCCACATATTTTCACCTTCTAGATTTATACTTGCCTCTAATATTCAAAATAATTCCCTTCCACATTGAGTAATTCCAACTCAAAATGGCTAAAATTATAACAGATTATCTTATAAAAGAAGTGCAGAGGTAGGGGAGCCTGAGTCTGGTGTAATCAGTGGCTATGTGACATCAACTCTACCCTGCCATCCTCTGGGTGGCCTTTACCCTTAGCCTGCTTCCCCTCATGGCCCCCAAATGGCTGCCCCTTCAGCAGGTATCTCATCTCGGCACAGGAGAGTCCACAGAAGCGCTTCAGCAGATCTTCCCTCACATCTAATTGGCTAGAACACAGTCACGTGTTCACTCCAAGGCAATAACCAGCAAGGACAGTGGGAGGAAGAGCACCGAGAAGAGTAGTAAGCAAAAGGAGGAGATGGGAAGGAGGTGCAGAGTCACAGGGGAGGGTTATTCTCTATGTCTCTCAACCCCTTAAAATTAAGCATTGAATGATGAACCTCATGACACCTCCAGTTTCTGGAGGATGCTGATGTCTAAGAGAGGGTAAGCCCCTGGGTCTAAGCCACACAGCCAGGAAGCCACAGATTCAGGGTTCAAACACAGTAGTTGTTGAACCCCCAAGTCCAGGCTTCTGCACCGCACACCATGCCACATCAAAACCTGACTCCCCTGTCACTGGCAACATCGTGCAACCATTTCCCAGTGACTGACTTTTAAATAAAATGTGGTGCACACAGTTTCCTATACCTAATCCCTCTTTTACATTTGTCTCTTGTCTGGACCACCATCTGTCCCTCCATGCTGTGGTGATGCTTCAGCAGTGGTGAGAGGCCTTGCCAGCTAACCTCCCTCCACCTTCATGCCACTTAGCAAACTCCAGCAGATGCAAGTTTTCTGACACAGGCTCCCATGATTAGCAGATGCTCTTTAATTAGTGTTATTTTCATTGCAGTTGTTGCCTTCCTGAGATTATCTTAATTCCGTAGCCCTCCAGATACACATTGTTTATGTGCCATTTGCCTCTCTGGGGATTAGGGGGAAGAGTGGGACTGTTGGGGACTCCTGTGGTGGAGGGCTTGCCCTCTAAAACCAGACTTTAGCCTCTAGGGAAGTTGCCAGACTTAGGAGAGGCCGGGAGGTCAGAGCTGATACAATAGCTCAGTAGAGTAGGAAATGGGAGAAATCCAGAGGACTCTGGAATTAGCCTTCCTGGATTTTAATCCATCTCTGGCTCTGTGAGCCTGGGCAGGTTATATCATTTCTGTACCTCGTCTGTAAAATGGGAATATTAATAGCACCTTCTTCATGGGATTGTTGTGATGTTAAATGAGATAATTCTTAGTGTTTAGTAAAGTGATTAAATTATAATTAATTATAATTATATAATTATTATATTGGGCTCCTGAGGTCATCTGTCACCCACCCCTCCAAGAATCACTTGTATCCCTGGGACAATGCCACTGATAACACATTGTTTGCGGGTAGTTTTTATCTCACGCTCTACTACCAGTCAATGTAAAACGTGTAAATACATTTCCCGCATACAATGTGATAACAACAGTTAGCATTTATAGAGTGCTTACCGATGCCGGGCTCTTTGCATGCATCATCTCATTTAATTCTCACCCCAGCACTGAAGTCCCATTGTATAGATGGGGTTCAGAGAAGTGGAGTGACCTGCCCAAGGTCACATTTAAAAAGTGGAAGAACCAGAATTTGAATCCAAATTTAAATTGGGGCTCCTTTAACCCCAGCCTTGCTTCTTGTCATTCCCTAAACTATTCCCATATTTAGTTTGAGAGAAATGGAGATAGAGAGTAACTGATTTTGCTTTCATAATGTTGTTTGCTTCTTCCAATTACCCCATTGGGGGCTTTATCACATTTTACGGTTGAAACAAGTTCAGGGTTGTGGAGTGACTTGCCCAAGGACATATACACCTAGGAAGGGGAGAGCCAGGATCTGCATCCTGATTTTAACCAGGTTCTGACTTCAGATTCATTTGAGGCTCTCTGTCCCAGAGATACATAGCAATTGATTTTATACTTCTTCCAAATACCTGTTTGAGAAGTTTAACCCCATTTTACAGCTAAGTATTCTGAGGCTTGGGAGAGAAGACAGCAAGTGGCGCAGAGCCAGTGACTCAGACCCCTCCTCTGAACCCAATGCTCTTCTTCCTGTCTTTGGCCAGGAAATTGCTGCCCAGGGAAGGGGATGGGAGGAGAGAAGGGAGCTCTAAAGGGGTAGGGGTGCCCCCAAAGTCTAGCTTTGAGCTCACTCACTTATTGCCAGCTAACCTGGGGGCTGCCCAGAGCCCTCACTCTAGTCCCAGGGGTTCTTAGGCTTGGAGGTGTATTGTCACATACACTAAGTGTCCACCAGGTGGGGCTTTTGCCAAAGGCAGGGCTCCTGTAGATGCCAGGACAGGCCTGTCTGCCCCACCCTGGGAAGGTAAAACCGGGCACATATCATATGTATCTGCATGGTATGATCACCCATGTGTACACACAGGCTGTGCAAATCTGTGTATGAGCACACAGGTATGTCCCAGAAAATCTGTTTATGGCTTGTATGCAAATGTTCATGAATAGAAATGTGTACTGGCATGCAGGCGTGTTTGTGCATATGCAAATGTGTACACACGAGCGTGTGCAGGGGGGCATAGGCAGACAATGTCTGAGTCCACCTGTGTATGAATGTGTGTGCACATATGTGTTTGTGATTGTATGCAAAAGTGGGTGTGGCACATAGGTGGTAGATCTGCCTAGTCTGAGGTCCTGAGGATCATT